TCTAAGGTAAAAGTCCCTATTATGAGACACTTTTCAAGGTAGGTTGAACATTCCTGCGAGTAATTAATCCATTTAAGAAAAAAATACACTTTTAATCGCTTTATACGATAATTTGATGATCATTAAATCAATATTTATATTGTTTTTATAGTTTTTTTGGTCAAAAATTAATTAAATTATGGTTTTTTTGGGGAAGCTACATGACCCTATTTATGAGACACTTTAAAGTCACATGTCCCAGTGTCTCGAACCACAGGACCCTATTTTTGAGACAGTTAAAAAATCAGCAAAGTTGATCAAATTTTATATATTTATCAATTTTAGACAATCGTATTTACAAAAGAAGGAATTACTTTTATTTTTAATTAACTTATAAAAAATTTTTTATCAGTTAAACAATTAATCAACGCAAATTATTGAATTAAATCTATTGTTCTTTCTTGATTTTTTTTGTCATTCCTTGATTTGAGCCATTAATTTTTTTTTCTTCTTGTAATATTTTTTTATTGTTAAATTTTTCTTCTTTCATGTTTTTTCTGGATCTAAATTTTTTTTTATAAGTTCTGAAAAAAAGTCACATTAAGTTAAATTTATTGAACATGAATGTGAGGTTGACATTTACATACCTAATTGATGAACTTTGTTGTTTATAAGATTTGTAGAATTAATATTTGTGAGCTCTGTTATAATCTCTCTGGGTTTTGCAGATATAAATATGTATCATCAGTAGAGATAGTTTGATCAATTAGTTTGTCTTCACTGAAGTCTTTAGAAGTGCACTGTATTACGTTATTGCTATCAATTGATGATTCTTGAAGACTAACTTGATTAGATTCATATGTAACCGTAAAAAATTGTTCATCATTAATTAAATTATTTTGTTCACAGTTTATCACATTAAAATGATTGTCTAAGACAGTAACGGATTGTTATACGTCTTCAATAATTCAGTTTTTGTCACATGTGACCCTATTACTGCTCTGTACAACACCCACTGAACAATAACATCCTCTTCTTTTAAAGATAACACTGTCACTGGCCCAGTTCTAATTTTTGCCTTCTTAGGACTAATACTTTTTCATTTAGCAAGGGTAACAATCGGTACTCCATAAACAGCAGCTGCTTTTCTCAAGGACAACTCTGTGTCTTCCATTGCTTTTAGAGCTTTTTTTATATTTCACGAATTATAATTACTTAATCCTTTTAATTTTTTTTTCCTTCATTTTATTATTCATATTGGAACACAACACTTTTTTTTTTTTTGGTTGAATTTGATGATTGAGTTTTTGTCACTTTGGAATTTTGTTTATGCTTCATTATCTCAGCTTTTTTTTATAATTTACTTTTTACTTACTCTGAAATAATAAGAAATAAATAATATATTTTCAGAATCAATATACAAAAAAATATTATAAATTTATCCAAAAGATTTAATTAAAAAACAGAAAAACTTGTTGACAAAGTTATTCTATGTTATGATTTGAGGTTAGGCTCATGATCTAAAACTATTTGACTTAAAATACTTACTTTTAGAAAAATATTTGAGGTTTAATAGTAGCCAATATTTTATAACATATAATTATACTATTTTTATAATTAATATCACATATTAGCAATATAAAATCTTATAAATGTACACTGTCTCACTTAATCGGGAGAAGCCGAAAAACATATGTCCGTATTACACTATACACCGAGAAAAGTGTCTCATAAACCGGGGCATTCACGTAAATAAGTGTAGGTATTGTGAGACACTCATATTTAAAATATTGTAATAAAAAAAACGCATAAATGTGTATAGAAATAAAGTTTATTACTCATCAGCTTTCAATTGATATACAATTTAATATAAAAGTAGAAGACACAATGAAATTACACTAATATAAAAAACTAGGTAGCCGTTGTCGTTTTACTATTCTCGGTCGTGGCTTTGAGCACAGATAACAAACCTCGCACTTTAATAAATATTTTTAAAAAACAGTATGGAATCAATTAACAACCAAAGTCGAAAATTGCTTTTGGAATAGATGAAATAATATATTTATTATACTTTTGGTATGCTAGCGGTGTGTTTTTTTTTATAAAATAGTATTTTTATGTAGTGTATCATAAATGGGGACATCGTCTCATAATAGGGACTTTTACCTTATTGAAAATTTTATTATTTATTATTTTTTTTAATTTATTACAAAATATGGAACTTAAAAAAATTTCAAGATAATAAGTGCAATTTTTTTTCTAAAATAATATTATCAGTTTCTGTTTTTAAATAAAAATTAAAAATTTTATAAATCATTATGAAAAGAAAAATTTCTTTTTCTAAAAAAATCAACTTTTAAAAAAATAAAATTTCTTATTTTTTAAAAAATAAAATAAAATACCTCTGTGCTGACGAGTTCTACTAGTAAAATCTGATTTACTAGACCGCTGTTTATCTTTTTCATTAACATACATAACCCGGGATTGTTGTAACAATTGGTGGTGATTTCCATGAGAATTAACTTTTCCAGAGACCATTGATCCTTGGCTGGTAGCTTGTTCAGAGCTGGTCTTGCTGATTATTGGCGATGTTTGTGCGTTACTTTCCCACAATACTTGTTGCTGTCAATCAACAAAAAAACCATCAATAATAATTTCATTAAATTAAAATTTTTATTTTTAAATTTTATTCAATAAATCAATTGTAGAAAATTATTAAAAAAAAAATTAAATTTATACAATACTGAAGTTGACAGATAATAAAATTTTTTTTAGAATTTTATAGCAATTAAATTATGATAAAAAAAATTTAATTAAAAAATTCCACATGTGAAAATTAATAAAAATTACAAGTGAAAATTTTTAGAGGCATTTTTTTATTGTAATTGATTTATTAAAAAAATTTTTTAACAAATAAAATATGGCAACAAAAATTTATTTAAAAAATTCCATACTTATATAGTTTATTTTTAATTAAATATAATTTAGCATATATTAATTAATTTAAAAAATTCTTATAACAAATAAATAATGGCAAAAAAAAAAAAATTGACATGTAAAAATTTAAAAAAATAAAAAATGCAATTTTTTTAAAATTATTTTTTGGAACAAATTTTTTTTTGTCAAATAAAATTAAATAATTGTCAAGTGACAGCTAAATTTAATGACATTTATTTTTAAAGATAAATCAAGTGTCTATTAATTTCAATGTCATATCATTAAATTTGTAAGTTTTATTATTTCTATACTAGAAATTTTGTTATAATTTATTTACAATAAAAATCAAATAAATTTTTAACTACAAATTAATAAATAAAATTTAATTAAATGTAATTAATTAATAAGTAAATTATTGACTTACTGAGGATGCATGAGGAATGTAATTATTTTTACTAGGCTGAGACTTATCTGGACTAGTTGGCGGAGTGGCCTCGCCACTGGCATTTATTGTAGTTTCTTCATTTTCTTCTTCTTCTTCTTCCCTAACTAATTGTTGCAGCTCTCCACATCGAGATTCTTCGTTCATTTTTTATTTATTGTCAATTTCAAATCAATAACAAACACCTTTCAGCTTTTAAATTTATTTCCTAACCCCGAAAGACAAAGAGAGAAAAACAGCTGGTAGCTTTGGTAGCTGTCAAGTTTTGTCGGTAAGGAAGAAAAATTTTTTGCCAGTAAAAAAAAAGAAAAAAAAATATGTCAATATTGATGTTGACGGAAAATGTTGATTGTAATGTTATTTTGTAAAATTTAATGAAATTTATCTGTGGAAAAAATTAATAAGTAAGGATTTTTAATGTTCATATTGTTAATTATTAACTTATGTTTTTTTAATTATAATTTTTTTTATGTAGAATGTAGAATTAAGGTTATTAAAAAATATTTTTTTTTTTAATTAATTTTAAGGGCACTTTTGATTCGATTAATTTATATTTTGAATAATTGTTGAGGAATGTTAATGTTAAATTAATGATACTGATATTAAATAACGTGTGACATTTTTTTGGATTGTTATGACAAATAAAATTTTCCTAAAAATTTTTCATGTGTAGAAATTTTGAAAATTTATGAGTGAGAATTAAAAAAAAATATTTTTTTTTGTTATGACAGTTCAAAAAAGCTTCAGAAATCAGCTGATATTAGTGTCATTGAAAATAATAATTAAAATTTTATAATATTTAATAATTATTTTTATTTGTTTTATAAATTTTATGAACATTGTAAGAAAAAAAATTTTTTTTTTTTCAATTTCCACAATTTTATGTTAGTAATAAAAAGAATCTTAGTCATATTTAATTTTAATTTTTATTAAAATTTTATAAATTTTCATTTTTTTATAATTACAGATAAATCTATAATTATAACAAAAATAACAACATTAAATTGTTTAAAATTATTTATTAAATTTTCCATTATATAATTTCATACAATTTTGTATCTTTAAAAAATTATACAAAAAATTTTTTGTAATTCACTAACATTACATTTTTACAAATATTTATATGATTGTACAAAATTATATAGATTCTTCATTAAAATTCTTACACTACTATGTAATAATAATAATAATAATATAAAATAAAATAAAGTAATGTATTTTTATAAAAAAATATATGAATTAATTTAGATACAACTATAAAAAATTTTTTTCTCAAACTACATAAAATTATATAAAATTTTATCAGTTTTTTCCTGATATAATTTTAGATAATTATTGAGATAAACATTTATATGATTTGGTCCATAATCATATAATTTTTCTTCTGAATTAATTTAAATATTAAAAAAAATATTTATCAAAACAGAAAACAATTTGATGATCCCATGGATGAAAGAACAAATTGCTGATGTGTGGAATAGGAAAAATTCGTCAAGGACAGCCAAGAAAGCGTCGACGGCGACGTCAGGATCTGGCTCTGGACTACCATGTGCAACAAATGAAAATAAAAACGATAATAAATCTAATAATAAAATGATGTCATTAACAGCAGCTTCTTCATCTTCTAATTCGTTCAACATTTCTGTAATCAGGTAAAAAAAATGACAAAAACAATGATTACAATAATAATAATAATAATAAACTAAAATAAAATAAATAAATTAACAGCCTGGAAGGAGATTTGCTGGACGTAGCAGTAAAACCGGACTTGAGCGTGGACAAGTTAAAAACAATAGCAATAAAGCATTTCTACGGTCAAGATCCATCAAAAGTGTCATCTGGGTTCCACTTAATCCACGCGGAGCACATCCGTCAGTTATCTGACGACAGCAGCCTGGTTAACGAAAACGTGGGAGCATCCGACGAGCTGCTGATGATCCAGGTTCGGCCCTTGGTCAAGGTCAAAGAGCTGACGGAAGATTCAGTGAAAGGACCACCAGTAGAAATGATCCTGAAAGCTACAAGTCACTTGTCGGAAGCAAAGCCTCCTAGACCGACACCAACGACGGACTGCCCGGCGGATTTTCAGGCTGAAATCCGGAAGATCTTGATAACTTTAGTCGAAGCATCAGCTAAAATTCTGATGAACAGTCCGGAGGCTTCAACGCTTTATGAAATAATCCGGGAGACCTTGGAGCTGCGTTACAGGCCTCCCTACGACCCGAAGACGGTAAAGTACCTGACGGAGATCGGGTTCTCGGAAGCAAAAGTGCTCCGGGCGTTGAGAATCTGCAAAATGAACGTCTCGGAAGCTCTCGAGTGGCTGATTGAGCACCAGGAGGACCCGGATGACTGCGACAATGATGACTACTTGTCTCTCCCCTCGATTCAGGCCGACGGGGAGCCCAAAGTCGAGCCGGAAAAAGGAGCAGGGCCCAGCTCTGGCTCCCCGACTGGAAACAAGTCTGGAAGCTCCAGGAGGAAGAGCATCAAGGAAGCCTGCTTCGACATCATCAAAGGCTCCAAGGACTCTGGGAAGAAAGACACCAACCTGGTGTACATTGTCGGGCTGCTACTCCAGAGTTTTCATCAGTACAAGCAGCTAGAGTTCCGTCCGAACCACAAGATCAAGGAGTCCTTGATAGAAATGGGCTTCCAGGAGAAAAATGTTGTTGAAGCGCTCAAGATCACCGGGAATAATCAGTTCAATGCTTGCGAATGGCTCCTCGGGGTCAGGAATAAGAATTTACATGATGTTGATCAGGGCCTGGATACTGATAGTCCCATTTACAAGGCTATTATGACCAATCCTCATATTCAGCTGAGTCTTACTAATCCAAAGATGCTCCTGGCTTATTTGTCTATTCTAGAGACTCCTTCGTCCACCAGCATTTGGATTAATGATCCGGAGGTCTCTCCGGTTTTGAGCCAGATTTTTAAGACTTATCATGCGGAGAAACACGCTATTCATATGAATAGATATGAAAATTCAGATAGTTAATTGGAATTATGGCACTGAAATATTTACTCTAAAAAATTAGCAATAAAAAAATTATTTGGTGAAAATTTTCAAACTATTTTTTTTCTTAGCTGAAGAAATAAAAATTTCTGTCATAGTAATTTTTGATAATTATTTACAAGTGGGGCCCACCATTTTCATTTTTTTTAATTTTTTATTTAATTTATTTTGAAAAATACATTAAAAAATGAACAATTAAAAAAAAAAGTTGATTATCATAATTTTAACAAATTAAAAAAAAATTTATAAATTTTTTTGTTTTATTTTAAATTGTTCGTTTTTTTTATGTACTTAAAAAAAAAATATATATATATCAAAAACATCAAAAAAAGATAAAATAGAAATTTTATACAAAAACATGAGAGTAAAAATTTTTTCCAACTTTTGAAGGCAAAAAAGCTATCGAAATCTTTATTTTTTTTGTTCACGACATTTTTTATCATAAATGCGCCGTAAAAACGAACAGAATCAAAAAAAAATTAAAAAATGTTTATTTTTCACCTTACCTAGATATGGCCAAAAATAGGGTGGACCCGACTTGTAAATAAATACTTAACTTTTTTGTGAAAAAAGATAATTTAGGATGAAAATTACCAACTTGCTTGTTTTTAAATTAATTAAAAAAAAATTTTTTTTAATGAAAAATTACTGTAAGAAAAATTTTTATTTCTTCAGCTAAAAAATAAAATTTTAAACAAATTCATTTGTCTATTTCAACATTACTTATTTTTTTCAAAAGAAATTTTTCTCTCAGTGTGGTTGATTTGGGCTTGTAATTTATGAAGCAGTAAATAAATTTATTTATTTAAAGTTGTAACAGTATTTATGTTTCAAAGTATTTTATATAAAAAAATATTTAAACTCAATTATTTAAAAATTTTGAATCAAGATATTTGTCTTCTTCAAAAGTTTTCATTTCATTTCTTTAATTTATTGTTTCTCATAGCAAATTTTTAAAATATTAAAAAATTGTATTAATTAGATTAAATTAATCATCACGCAAATATTTAGTATCTGATCTCAGCAAACTTTCACTTTATCACTAACTAAACATCTAAACAATGAAAGTAATGATAAGAGTAGGTATGTTTACATAAATCATAATTTTTGCAATAACAAATATACTTAAATAATGGATTATAAGTATGATTTACATATGATTCAACACTAATACTATTGTCTTCATATCAACACAAATTTAGCGCAATAGTAATAAAAGTAAAAAAAAAAATTCATCGAGATTACACTTAATTATACCAAAAAATAAATACTAAATCCTCTAAATTAAAATATTTAAAATACATGAAAGTCTTGAAGTTAGTCAAAGGTCGAAACTCGCAAAAAACGGGCCACGATTAATTATTGGTTAAAATTTAGGCGCGCGTGTAGCGCGCTATTCAAATTTCTAGTCTTTATAAAAGAAGAAAGATAATTTTTTAATGCAGTTCACTTTTGTTAGGTAATTAAAAATATTAATAATGTTTATCAAAAGTTTCTATATTTTTATTTTCATCCTTTCTTTCGTATTTATTCAAGGTAAATTATTTTTTAGTTTCATTTTTTTATTGAAAAAAAATTAGTTTTAATTTCTTATGAATCTTTTCTCAATAAAAAGTTTGTGTGGGACTTATGAAGCCTTGTTGCTAGGCAACGGTTGCTAAGGGCGTTGCTAGGGTTTCCTTTACCTAGTAACTTTAGTAACGCCCCTTAACAACTGTTGCTTAGCAACTTTAGCAACGCCCTTAATAACGGTTGCTAAGCGCGTTGCTAGGGTTTGTGTCACCTAGCAATCTTAGTAACACCCCTTAACAACTGTTGCTTAGCAACATTAGTAACACCCCTTAACAACTGTTGCTTAGCAACCTTAGCAACGCCCTTAGTAACGGTTGCTAAGCGCGTTGCTAGGGTTTTCGTTACCTAGCAACCGTAGTAACGCCCCTGGCAACGCCTCTATTTGATAGTTTCTAGGGGCGTTACTAAATGAGGGGGAAAGAAGATATTTTGTACTAGCCTATTTTGTATATAATTACATATTACACATGCTAGTAATTGTAGAAAGTAGATGTTAATCAGCAAAAGTAGTCATTTAATTAGAATCGCCATAAGGTTAAATAAATTTATCTTATAACAGACGCCTATGGGAGACGCCCCAGCAAGATATCAGGTGGCACAAGAACATCCATCAATAGTCTCAATTCGGTTCTACGGTCAACATATCTGCGGAGGAGTTTTTATAACAACCAGACACATATTAACCGCAGGCCACTGTCTGTCTGATGATGATGAGTTAGGACAAGGCATCGTGCGCTACCCGAAGTTCCTAATAACGGTGGCGTCAGGAACTAATAACTGTTACCATCCGGCAAATGTTCATAAAATAAAGAGCTTTACAATCCACCCGCACTACCAAGGGTCCATCAGCGATTATGCCAACGATATTGCCATTATTGAGGTAAGAATTTTTAGTAGTAATTATGATGATGAGTGGATAGACTAACCTAACCTAAATTCTTACATTGCAGTTGGAATACGCCATACAACCCGACGAAACCCGACAAATCGCAAGGCTTCCTCGGGAAAACACATCACCAAATGTTGACGCTACTGTTGTGTTGGATGGGGGACATCCTACGAGGGAGAAAAAAAATTGTCGGAGTTGTTGAAGAAAGCTGACGTTGTCACCATTGATAATTATGAGTGTCAAAGCAGGATACGAAGTTTTATTTATGCGGGACAACTTTGTGCGACACAACCTTGGGGTACAGGTTTTTGCGATGTAAGTTTGCTTTCAAAATATTTTCCCTGAATAAAAAAAAGTATTGATGAATAATAAAAATCGTATTTGGTTTGTCATCACATGAAGCGTCTTACCATAATACCATTTGAATATTATTTTTTTTTTATAACAAATTACTTCTTAATACAACTATATAACTCTAAATATTTTTAAAGCTATGGTAAAAAAAAAAAGTAAAATATAAATTAAAAAAAAAACCATAGAAGCCATTTTGTATACTTCCAACCAGTAGTTCTAGCAGAGTTATTAACGCGCTTGACTTCAAACTATGAGAACTGGCCAGCTTAGGTATGGGTTCGAGTCCCACCGTGGTTGAATAATGAAGGCCAGCTGGATTACACCAGCAAAGAAAAAAAAAACTTTACTTCCAATTGACACTAATAATTGGATAGCAGTTTTTGCATTTCCACTTCGACCATTGGGATAATTAATTTACTAATTTTTCAGGGCGATAGTGGTGGCCCCTTGTACAGCAGAAGCGGAGAATGCTTGGGTATCATATCAATATATCCTTTGACTGCGGGAAAGGAATACCAGATGTCTACACTCGCGTTTTCCACTACCTCCAGTGGATCAAAGCCACCATTAAATATAGTCTTCTCATCCTAATTATTAATAAAATTGAGATGAAATATATATGAAGCCATTTTATTCGTAATGTGATTAGTCAAATACATTATAAGCATAAAAACTTGATTTCTAGTATATTATAGAACGTTGATTAAATCTAAAAATAAAATCTTATCTATACATTGATTTACTGAATTAACTTTCACTGACCTTCAACCGCCTAAATTTATCTCTTATTTGGTAAATAAATAATTACTTTTTTAGGTTATATCATTAGGCAAATACGGATTGACGGCATTAATAATTTGGATTAATAGTCCAGATTTGCGTTTAAAGTCTTCTAACTGATTTATTCTTCTGAAATTCTAAAAATAGTTATTTGTTTAAGATTATTGTCATATGATGAGTTTTGAGTTTCAGAAGGGTATCTTTTCACTTTTGATAAATCGACACAAAATACTGGTTATCTTCAATTATAAATATTTTTATTGAACATTATTAATTTAGCTATAAAGTGCTATCGGTTATTAATATAGTAATTAATATTTAAAAGCTCAAAAAACTGCACTTTCAAAACATCAAAAGTACCCTTTTGAAAATCAGCTGCTTATATATTTGTAAAGTATTTGCCAACTGCATTAAGTAATGAAATTAATATATAAATAGTCTTTCATTATTTGGAATTACGATAACGAATCGCTTATTAATCTTCGCTTTGTAAAATTTCACAGCTTTCGAGTTTCCAACACCAAAATGGCCGCATCACAGGTTTTACTTATGGCGATAATCGGGCTGCATGTACAAGAACTTTGGGCCAGATTATAGCTCAAGTCTTGAGAAAGACTGACACCAGAAGCATGCTAAATATACTTGTGCAAGAGTTGCTCAAGATTTGCTCAAGATGAAATGTTTTTGAATGACCGTTCGCATCATTTTACCCCTCCTATATTTACTATAGAATCAGTGGATTTCTGAGAATTACGGATCTTGAGCAAATTTTGAGCAAGTCATGGGTAAGTCTTTTTTGTGAGTTTCTGGTACAAAAAATGCGTAAGAAAGTTTTTCAATGCACCTTGCTTTAGACTTGTCTCATATTCTTGCACAAGATGTCTTGAGCTAGTTACATATAAATCTTGAACCATGTCTTTTTAAATAAACTTGAGCAAGACCCATATGTAGAAAAAGACACTAGCAACTAGGGGTTTTGCTCAAGACGCTGGCACCAAAATCTTGCTTGTTGTTATTGATTGCACACCTCATAACGCAAAGCGGTTGAAGTAGCGCTCTACCCTAGTAGCAATGGAATTGGGTAAGATTCTTTGGCAAGATACTTGGAGAAGCACTTTGTAAAGATTGGACAATTCTCGACCAAGATACCTGCCCTGATTAAAAAAAAGTATTGAGACAAAGGAAAAAGTATCTTGAAAAGAATTGGTTTTCTAGTCAATCCAATTCTTTTCAATACTAGACAAAGGAAAAAGTATCTTGAAAAGAATTGGTTTTCTAGTCAATCCAATTCTTTTCAATACTTTTTTCTTTGTCTCAATACTTTTTTTTATTCAGGGTGATCAAGATTCTTTATCCAGACTGGCGGCAGACTTGGGACAGTCTGCTATGCGCTAGAATTTGACCAGATTCTTGGTCCAGATTCCTAACATAGACTTGCGCGAGAAATGCAAAAAACGACGAGGGCGCACCTATTTCCCTCCTTTCCATTTGAATGTGAAAAGTATAGTATTGCAGTGATTTTCATTTATAGTCTAGTCAACAAGTTTAAAACATTTATTTAGCTTGCTACGATATGTAAAAGGTTGAATTATCGCACGAAACAGTAAAATATTTTTTAATAGAATGAGAACCTCTATTCTATAGGATAGTTCCAAATTTTTGCAATAGATGGTCCCAGATTTCTGGTCAAAGGTCAAATTTTTGACAAATTCTGACTAAAGCTGGCTCAAGTCTTGACCAATAATCTTAGTCAAGAATCTGGACCAATTCTTGATCTAAAATCTTTCTAAAGTATCTTGATCCATGCTGGCACAAGGCTTTTACCAAATTGTTACTAGGGTACTCTCGCCTTACTAAAATCAAGCAACTTTCTGAAGTAAACATATCTATTTTATTTATGTTGCACTTATATAATAATATGAATACATTATGTCAAGGAAAATCACTCGTTTTAACGCATTTGATATTTTTCAAAGACTTTTATTTTATTTAGTGTAAAAAAAAACTTACAAAAAATTTCTGAGCCTGTTCGGATGTCTGTATGTGTGGATCTGGCACGATTACGCCTGCAAAACTTAAAATATAGAGACATTCTTTTTTTATTAGCTTCAGAATTACATCGCGCAGTTTCCTATTGCAAATGGCTGTGTAATTCGGGGACGTTTAATTACAATTAATAGAAAACTAAAATTGACTAGTCTTTGGTATGTCTATACATATGTAAATAAAGACTATAGCCTTAAGCAACGCATGGGCGCTCGGTTATCTGTTCATTGGTGCGCTTGCGTCCTATATTTCTCATTTTAGATGAAAATGGCGCAAAATATTTGAATCTATAATTAAAGCACAATTTCTTGAGTCCATTTAATACGAATAAGTTAATCATAAGAATTTTTCTTAAAAATTAAATGGACCTTATGAGGCGTGCTTTTTCGAATTTTTCAGACTTTTTGTAAATCAAATCGAAGATTGGATTAAAAAGAGGCTCGTATTATAGCAGATTAAATTTGAACTTGGAAGCAAAATGAGGTCTATAATAATTGATGATGCTCTTTATCAAATAATCAAATACCCACACACGCGTGAATAAATTACTCGATTAAATAACAAAGGCAAGCTAAAATTAACTTTCTTCAAAAGATTTTATTTGTTTATTCATGCAATAAACAATAAAATTATAACGCTCCATTTACTAAATCATAATAATGTCAATGCAATCCCCAAATTGTGTCACCAACTGATAACACATTTAAGATGCATAAAAGCCGTTAAGAGTACATTGTTACCTCAGTATTCCCAAAATGGATCACTTTATCCATATCGCTTTTATCCTTGCGATCTTTCTACCTCTCGGTAAGCAATCCTGATTAAGAAATCTACTCTCTAAAAATGAATCAGTGGAATTTCACTGTTTCACAGTTATAAGTCTACCAAGTGGTATACTTATAACTGTGAAACAGTGAATTTACTACTAATTTCCAGTGATTTTCACTGTTTCAGATTTAAAGAGTAATTTAAAATGATTTAATCTTTTTAATAATTTTAAATAAGATTTTTCAACCAGGGAAATCACCCTGCACTAGCTAATACTAAAAAAGAAAACTATTAACACTCTTTTGAACTTCTGGAACAGGAATCGACGGCAAACCTCCAAGAAAAATAGTCGGTGGAATTTCCGCCAAGATCAATGATTTCCCGTGTGTAGTTTCCATCGAAATCTGGGGTCAGCATTTTTGTGGCGGAGCTTTGGTATCAAAGAAACACGTCCTGACAGCAGCACACTGTCTTTGCACCCCAGACGAGAGAACCAAGACTATGACAATTTTCGACGAAAATGCGCTTAAGATCGCTGCTGGAAGTAGCAGTTCCAAGCATCTTAATCAAGTCTACGAAGTTGAGAAGATAAACGTCCATCCTGCGTATACCGGCGAGTCGCCGCTAATTTTGCACGACCTTGGGATCATAACGGTGAGTATTGGTGAATTCGATGATAAGCTTGGTGATTTGATCATGAGCAGTGACTAGATACTTGATTAGATGAAAGAAGAAGCTGTCCTAGATGCTACAGTGCAGGTTGTAAACCTACCAACTGACTACTGCTACGCCGGGCAACTCGCAATAGTTCTCGGATGGGGATACTTAAAAGACAAAGGTGGTGCCACGTCTGAGTGGTTGCAAAAAGCTCCTGTTCTGACACTGAGTAATGAAGATTGTATGCAGAAACTTCCTTATCCCATTGAGCAGGATCATATTTGTGGGTGGTACGGTCAAGGTGTTGGATTTTGTGACGTAAGTTCGTGACAGATTTAAATTGCCAGGATCTGCTGCTAGTTTCTGTAACAGAAACGTTAACGAAACTTACCACAAGCATATTTCCAGGGTGATAGTGGAGGACCTTTATTGCTCAATGGAGAGATAGTTGGTGTCGTCTCCATGGGCTACGTCTGTGGATCTGGACTTCCCGATATCTACACCCGGGTGTACTCTTACTTACCTTGGATTAGAAGAGTAATTCGTAGTACGTATCATTAAAAGCATACCCTGAATAAAAAAAAGTATTGAGACAAAGAAAAAAGTATTAAAAAGTATTGGATTGACTAGAAAACCAATACTTTTCAATACTTTTTTCTTTGTCTCAATACTTTTTTTTTATCAGGGATTGTATCAAATTAGTCATAAGTCATAAATAAATAACAGTTTAGTTGAAATGAATAGTATTTTATTTAGAAAGCACACAAAGACCTTGATCATTTCCGTGGTTGGATATCCAACCAAAACCCGCCATCGGCGATCAGGTTGAAACTCCTCTTACTGAGTCTCATCGGCAGAATCATCTTTTTGGAAAGATAGATATTGCACTTGGCAAGAAGGTAGAAGAACAGTACCTTGGTTTCCAAAAGCGCGAACCGGTTTCCAATGCACATCCGGGGCCCAACACCAAAGGGCATGTAGGCAGAATGATTGAAGGTGTCTTTTGTATCACCCATAAATCGCTCCGGTTCAAATTTATCCGGGTTCGGATAGTATTGCGGGTCTCTATGGATTGCATAAATGGGAATCCAAATACTATCTCCAGGATTTAGCATGAGAGGTTTGGCTCCAGGTACAGTCGGTGGTAATTCATAGCTTTTGGTGCAGATTCGGTCCATGACTACACCAATCGCATGAAGACGCAGAGTTTCGTTCACGGTAGCGTCAAGATAATGCATTCTGTTGATTGACTCGTAGCTGGGGTTACCATTGTCCTTTTCAAGCACTTGGTCTATTTCTTCCTGGAGCTTCTTTTGGATATCAGGGTTCGACGCTATCTCGTGGGCCATGAAGCACATCGTGGTCGCTGTGGTATCAAATCCACCGAAGAAGAAGATGAAGGCTTGCGAAGTCATGCTTTCAATGCTAAGTTCTGGAGTCTTGGATCCAGGGTTGTTGCCGCGGGTCCCCATCATCAGCTGGATCATGTCTGGTCGGGTGATATTTTGAGCGTCTCTGGCGGCGATCGTGTCTTTAACTAGCTCGTAGAAGAATTCCTCACATTTGGTATCGATCAATTTCATGCGGAACAGTTTCGTTATCAGCGGAAACGAGCGAATCAGAAAGAACTTGAGTGCCTTGAGGCCTTCGAAGGTAGTGGCTTGTCGACCCAGGACGTAGAAGTCGTTGTCGGGGTTTTTCATCGAGTCCACTGCTATTCCAAATGCACAGGTGGCGATAGCGTCATTGGTGTAACGCGTAAAGATGTCTTTAGAATTGAACCCATTAGCTCCATCTCTAACCTTCTTCACCAGAGCATCAGTAAAAATGTTGGCACACTCTGACATCAGCTTGAACATGCCCTTCATCTTGCTGGACGTAAATGCAGGTGTCAAGAGGGTTCGAATCTCACGCCACCTGTCACCTCGCAGAGAAAACAAGTTGTTTCCGAACAAAGGCTCGATTTCAGGGTCAGTGAATCCTCGGTGATCTATGAAGTGATCGAAATGCTTCACTGTGATGTTCTTTATCAAGTCCAAGTCTCTGATCATCGCCACTGGCATGCCGAAGTCGTAGAACCCAACGTACTTAGGCTCCTTGAACATGTTGTAGATATTCGAAATGTGCCCTACGAATGTCTCTCTTTGGAAAATAAGCGGGGCCATATTTCCGAAAATTGCCAATCGTTTAGGATGAGGAATTCCATATTTGTCAAAGTAGTTTTCGCGGGAGAAGAAATAATAAATAACAACTAGTCCAGCTAAAGCAGCTAGAACCATTGATAGCGACACTTCCAACATGTTATGCACTTATTAACACTGACACGCGCGATCACCGAGTTATAACTAGTATCACTTGTTATTTTGCAGCAGCGGGAATGAATGACCTTGCATCAAGAGCTGTTGCAAGTCATCCCACTTGAAATGCTCAATTGCATCATACGCAGTTATCTTCTTTCTGTATGTTTATTTTAATTGATTATTTTTCATGCTAATTAAGCGTGAATAGCATACGTAGTGCTGTCGTGTAAGTAATTCATATTATGTAAATTCCCATTTTTTTTACTACTGCTAATGTTAGTAAGAATTAATCTCAAAAAGATGATAATGCAACCCGTTTTTTGGTAGCCAATAGATATCATGCGATGCACTTGAGTCGATGCAGTCGATTAGACAATCACTCTCGGGTGTATTTCCAGCCAGAATCCCCCCTCTGCTATCAAGGTCAAACTGGTTTTGCTCAGTCGCATCGGCATGATCATCTCATTAGAAATCTTGATGCTACACTTTGCAAGAACGTAAAAGAACATGACCTTCATCTCAAGAAGTGCGAAGCGGTTTCCGATGCACATTCTAGGGCCGATTCCAAAGGGCATGAAGGCCAAGTGGTTTAAGCTATCCTTATCCATGAACCTTTCTGGATCAAACCTATCAGGATTTGGAAAGTACTGGTCATCTCGATGAATCGCCCAGGTTGGGACCCACAAAGAGCTCCCAGGTTTCATCACCAGAGGTTGCAACCCCGGCAAGGCTGGTGGCAGTTCAAAGCTCTTGGTGCAAATCCTGTCTACAGCAACCTGGATAGGATACTTCCGAAGGGTTTCGCTGATAACCGCATCAAGGTACTGCATTCCGTTGATGGCCTCGTAACTAGGTTCTCCATTGCTTCCGTCCAGAACCTGATCAATCTCTTCTTGGAGCCTCTTCTGGACCTCGGGGTTCACTGCAATTTCATGAGCCACGAAGCACATAGTCGTCGAAGTGGAGTCGAAGCCTCCGAAGAAGAAAATGAAGGCCTGGGAAGTCATGCTCTCGATACTGAGCTCCGGATTCTTGGATCCTGGATCGTTTCCGCGGGTTTCCATCATCAGTTGGATCATGTCTGGTCTGTAGATCCCTTTCTCGTCTCTGGTTGCAATCGTTTCTCTCACCAGGTCGTAGAAAAAGTTTTCTACGTCCCTTTCAATGACTTTCACACGAAATAGCTTCGCTAGCCATGGAAAGGATCTTGATAGGAAGAACTTCAGCGCTTTGATACCATCAAAACTGGTTCCTTTCTTCCCGAAAACGTAGAAATCGTTCTCTGGATTAGCCATCGAGTCCACGGAGACTCCAAAGGCACACGTAGCAATCACATCATTGGTGTACCGGGTGAAGATATCTTTAGAGTTAGATTCAATGGACCCCTTTCGTGATTGATTGACCAAGTAATCGGAGAAAGTCTTAGCGTATTCTGACATCAGCATGAACATCCCCTTCATCTTGCTGGATGTAAACGCTGGGCTTAGCAGAGTTCTGACCTTCCGCCACTGTTCACCGTGAAGGGAAAAGAGGTTGTTACCCATCAAAGCTTCTCTTTCAGCTTCCGACTTGTTTTTATCACTGAATAGGAATGCGTGTTAATTTGCAAGAGTGAATGTCTCTTTTTGTCGATTCATAAATGGTTTGGGATGGGTGTGGGTTGTTACAGGCACCAGCCTCAATGTCACCTGCGCATCTTCATCAATATGCATCTTCATTGGCTAGCCCGGGACAACTATCTGAGTCTTTGCCTGCCAGCCAGGTTCGTGTTCATTTCCCACTTCACTCACTTTCACTTTCGCTGTCAATACAGTAACCGAAAATTTTTATTTTTTCATTTTCTCATTTTTTCAGTACTAAATTATATAATAAATAAATTATTAAAGAGTTAAGTGCAGTAGGAATAGGAATAATTTTTTTTTAATCTTGAAGTATATCTCTAAAATATTTACTAATAGCTCAGAAAACTAGGCTGAAAATGGAATTTTTTTTTTTAATTATTTTGGATAATTTTTAACTGAAAGTTTTTCTTGTAAAATTTCATTAAAATTCATAGTTTTTGAGTTATAAATTGAGCATCTTGGATATGATTATTTTTTTGTGATTATTTAAAGGGTTAGGAAGAATTTTTTAGAAATCAATTTTTTTTTAAGTAAATCTCAAAAATATATAAGTACTAATAGTTTTTGAGATACTTTTTTCGGTGCCCAATTAATTTTTTTTTTTTTTATTAATTAGGGTAATTTTTAACCGAAAATTTTTCTTGTAAAATTGAATTAAAATTCATAGTTTTTAAGTTATAAATTTAGAAAAATGATCAAAAGAAGTAACCTTTGCTCAAACTAAAAATCAAAATTTATGCATACGTTCCTTCAAATGCACCTGCAGGCTCTCATTGAATTTTAAAAAAAAGTTTTAGTAAGTTGTATTTAATAATTAATAACAAAGTAAATTGGACAAATATTTCAAAAATATTTACTGAAAAATTTGAATATATTCGATTGATATATTTTGAGATACTTTACAAAACTCGGGCAAAAAAATTGTTTGAAAAAATTTTTTTTGGGCCGAATTAATTTTTTTTCATCAATTTGAGTAATTTTGAACCAAAATTTATTCTTATAAAATTTAACTAAAATTTATAATTCATTTTGAGTTATAAATTTATAAAAATGATCAAAAAAGGTAACCTTTGCCCAGACTAAAACTCAAAATTTGTACTCTCAAAACTATATTTTCAAATTCGGTGACTACTCTCATTAAAAAACAACTCATAATTTTAATTAAGTTTTTACAGCTCATTTAAAGTACAAAAATCTAGTCCTTCATCCAAGGATTTATTTTTTTTTTAATTTCAATTTTTTTTTAACAATAAACTCCCGCTTTTTTCTACAAAATTCGCGAGTAAACTGTTAGACGCTGTCATTTTCTTAATTTTCAAAATAAAAAAAAATTTTGATCTTGGTACTAAATTTACTATTAAACTAATGATTATTTCTTGTTTGATTTTTAATGAACCAATAAAGAGTTATAAGTTACCTTGAAACACTACTTTTAAATTTTGGTCGTCAAATTAAACACATAATCAACATAATTAATTTTTTTTAATTTAATTAGTGTTAAAAAACTATTAAAAGTTATTTTTTCTTATGGCTGCACTTAACCCTGATAAATATTACCAGAACTAGCAATTTTCAAAACTTTTTATAATTTTCTGTAAGAAACTACCTTCTGCTCAGAAAGATATATTTTTGAGCTTGAATCAATTTACAATTTTTTTTTTTTTAGTTTTAAAAATTATAATAAAAATTTTTACTATTTCTTAAAATATCCACTAATTTGATTTTCGGTTACTGGAATTGATTAATATCACAATCACTCGCAATCACCAACGTTAAAATACCAACTCAAAACTACATTCCTCATCACTATCACTATCACTCACAAAAATCAACACTTTATTTGTTTATTTGTTTCAATAAAATCATACAGACATCCGATATTCAATAAACAGGATGGAAGATACTCGTGTGTATGTGTATATTTATTCGCAGAATGTGATACTCACGCTTAATACAATGCATGAACATATAATGAATAATTAATATTAAACTATACTTATTATCTAGTTTCAATTTTATTTAATTTACAAATTTTCATATTGTTTTAAAGATAAAGAATGATTTATCTGTTACAGCTTCAGTTGTCTGGCGAAGAACTGCATTCAGTGAACGAACGCGACGGAATGATCGGAATGGGTAGCGGAATGAGTATGAATAACGACACGCCGTCACCCTCGACGGCCAGATCTATCAGACTTGAACGCGTTGTCCAGGCATTGGCTCACAGTCAAGAAGAACTTAGGAGACGCACAGGTCACACCGGGTTTCCTAATGCCGGTTATCCGCCTCACAGGTTTGTTTTCTTCCTTTAGAGATGTTTGGTTAAGCAATTTTATTTTAATACCAAACAACTTTAAAATAAAATTATTACAGTATTTTACAGTTTAGTAAATCCAAATGTGCATGCCTTAAGCGCTCAATTTATTTTTAAGAAAAAAATAAGTCGTTATTACTGACTTATTTGTATTACGGACGTTCAAACGTTCAATTTTTATGAAAATTAAATTAGCTGACATCTAAAAATTTTAATAATTTTTTTTATTGAAAAAATTATTACAAAAAAAATTAAAAGAAAAAATTTGTCATGTAGAAAATTTAAAAAATTATGCCTAGATTTTTTTATTTATAATTTAATTGTTGAAAAAAATAAAAAATTATTAAACGTCGGCTAATTTTCGTATCATCTAATTTTTTATGAAATTCATTGGCGTCTTAACTAAAAAAACATTTTTTGAGGAAGAAATAAAATAAAGTGAAAATTTAGGTTTTATTTTTTATGATACTGAAATTAACAGACGTTTAAAATAATTTTAATTTATTAAATTAGAACTGAAAAAATATTTTTAAAAAATTACGCTTGTAGTTTTTTAAATCTACTACATGTGAAATTTTTATTTTTTTTTTGTAATACATTTTTTAACAAAAAAAATCCTAAAAATTTTCGGATGTAAAAAAAATAGAACAAATTAAAAAATGTGTCTCGTAATTGAAAAATTTTTTATGAATTTTAGAAAAATTTATTTTTAACGTTTGATAAGCCTCGCGCTTAAGGTTACAAAATTATTAATTATTAAATAGCTCAGTAGTTATAATTAGTTTGACAATTAGTAGTAGAGTTAGAAATAGAAACTAGATTAGTGCTACATGCTTTAGCAGGCATGGGCATCATAACAACGGCACCCTCAATTGTGGGACACCTCCTTCACCGTTGTCTTCACGTCATAGCAGCCAGGACAGTTTGCACAAAAACAACTATATCAGCATGGCGGCTAGTCAAGGAATGGGCCATCCAGTAGGGCTGCCTTTGGGACAGCTATCCAGCTCACACTTGCAGATGCAAGCTAGTGGAATGAGCCCTGCTACAGCTGCCGCTGTTGCTGCTGCGCAAAAGAAGAAAGGAATCAAGAGTAGTCTTGGAAGATTTTTCAGTAAAAAGGATAAGGTTTGTTTTTTATTTATTTATTATTATTCATTATATCATACTCTAAATTGGATGTCTATTTGGCAAAAAGTGATTTATAATACGTGTCTCTTTATTCAAAAAATCAAGTGCAACTTATTACCTCAATACTTATATGATGAATTCGATTTTAGTACAACTCATTATAATACTAGAAATTCTCAAATTAAAATAAAAAAAAAAACAAAAACAGTTACAGCAGAAAAAACTATAACATACAGGGGTTTAGTTTGGTATAATAAAATTCCCATGGAAATAAGAGAAGAAGCTAGAATTAAAATTTTTAAATTGTTATTGAAAATATAGAATAATTTGTGAAATTGAATGATAAAATGTAAATAGATAGTATGTGAGGTGCAAATGACGAAACTAAAATATATTTTAATGAACTGTATAAAACTAATTGTAAAACAAAAATAGCTACTTACTTAGCTAAATAAATATTATCATTATTTTTTTTTTTATTCTGATTATTTTTACAGCGCATTTATCATAAAAAATGTCGTGAAAGAAAAAAATAAAGCTTTTTTGCCTTCAAAAGTTGGAAAAAAATTTTTGGGCTCTCATGTTTTTTGGATAAAAATTTTCTATTTTTATCTTTTTTTTGATGTTTTTTGATCTACTTTATTTTGAAAAATACATAAAAAAACGAACAATTTAAAAAAAAAAAAGTTGAATATCACAATTTTCTAAAAAATTTATAAACTTATAAGGTAAAAGCCCCAATAGATGATCATGTACCAGTATATGATCACTTCATGTATTTGTATACTTAATTTGTAGAATATAGATATACAAATACATGGAGTGATCATATACTGGTACGTGATCATCTATTGGGGCTTTTACCTTATTTGTAAATATTTACCTTATTATTTATTTGATTTTTATTTATTTATTTACATGTTATTATTATTATTATTATTTATATTGATATTATAAGTGTTAATGTTTTTGAATTATTGATATAGATAAAGTCGAAAGACAATTCAATGGCAGCTGAAATGGGTGGATTTGGTGGCGCAAGTACACCAGCAGACCCAGATTATGGTGATAGTGTCACTGTTGTTGGGACACAATTAAGTACCAGTAAGACTGAATTTGATCGTAGGAAAAAGAAAAGGTATTTTATTATTTTAATATTGATTAATTTATATAAATCTTCCGTTACTCTTGATATCGAGGAAATCCCAGGCTGTCGACTTTTACTCTAAATACATTTACTAGCGACTTTGGACTTTAATAATAAGTTATTATTTTTTTTAAATACAAAGTTCCGCTTATATAAGATATTACCTAGAAATTAATCCCCAGAATTATAAAAATATATATTTTTAACAAAATGACGGCTTCATAAAAAAATAATCAATTTTTGATAAAAATTTTTAGCCTTAAATTATTTATAAAAATATAAAATATTTATTAGAATTATTAATTCTTGAATTAATTACTGAAAAATATAATTAAAAAAATTGTGTAAAAATTAGAGGCTGATCTTATCACTTTTGCTAAATATTGCTCACTGATTTTGAAAATATAATTTTGAGAAAAAGGCGCTTAAAGTTTTTCGGCCTCAGCAGCATTAAAGTGCAACGAGCTCCGATTCGGTTTTACAAATATCTGTACAACTTTAGAAATACTTGTCCGATTGATATTTAATTTTTTGTGTATATACATTAATATATGTATATTACAAAAATGAAATTAAAAAAATTCCAAGTGCGTATACCTTTTAACCTTTCGTTACTTCTGCTATTAAGAAAGTCCCGGGACTTTAATTTGAAATATTAAAAAAACTATCATAATTATTGTTGCTAATTATTTTCTAATTAATTTATTATTAATTGATTTTAAGTTAATTAGTCACAAAAAATTGCGACTTTTCCCTGCTAGCAAGTCTATTCTTGATAATATATTAATTTTACTTGCAACGTTTCAAGTTTATAGTAAATATTTGAGTATTGTTGTTGTTTAATAATTAAAATTTCGATGGAACTAAAAAAAATTTTCCAACATTAATTTAAACTCGAAGATAAATATATTTTATAGTTAATTTTAATTTAATAAGACTTAAAATGGATTTAGCCACAATGTCGAGCTAAAAAATATTCCGGGGATTCCCCTTGACGCTTCTAACGCCCTCATAATATAATTTTTATCTGTAACGGAAGGTTAATTTATTTATTAATCTGTCAATAACTAATTTATAAACATTACCTTTCAGTATGTTAGATTCTTCGCGACATGAATTACTGGGAGAAGCAATGAAAGCCGGAACACCTTTTGGCCTGTGGAACGGCCCGACAATCGTCGCGTGGCTGGAATTATGGGTCGGAATGCCGGCTTGGTATGTCGCAGCCTGTCGCGCAAATGTCAAAAGCGGTGCTATCATGAGTGCTCTGAGTGACACGGAAATCCAGCGAGAAATCGGAATAAGCAATCCCCTACATCGACTGAAGTTGCGCTTGGCAATCCAAGAAATGGTCTCCCTGACCAGCCCCTCGGCTCCCAAGACTTCGCGCACTACTCTGGCCTTTGGTGACATGAACCACGAATGGATCGGCAACGTCTGGCTCCCGAGTCTCGGGTTGCCCCAGTACAGGTCTACATTCATGGAGTGCCTTGTTGATGCACGGATGCTTGACCATCTTAACAAAAAAGATTTGCGGGGCCAGCTCAGAATGGTTGACAGTTTTCACAGGTTTGTATTCACTTATATTATTATTATTGTTGTTACTAGCAACCTTGCAGTAACTATGTGACTGCCGAGACTTGTGAATTAATAAAAATTGAAATTTTGCTTTATTGAATAATGACTTTTGTTAAATTGCATTGTACTTTCTTAAAGGTTTAAAGGACAGTGTGTCCTGTTTGCAAAAAATAGAAAGTTATGGAGCTAAATTACTGTTATTCATTAGTGATTGTACTTTGGAGGAACCGTTTTAATGTTTTCAAGTGTCGCTAAACGGTGTTTTGTTGACATCGTTTTTAACAAGTGTTTTTGGCGGAAAAAATTTTTTTTAATTATATTATTATTATTATTATTATTATTATTACATATTAACGGAAGTTGTTTTTTAAAGTTTTTACTTTTATTTCTTCTTCTTATTTTTTTTTTTTAATTTTTTGTTTAAACAGAAATAGAAAATAATTGAAAGTACTTTTTAAAAGTAGAAAAAACTAAAAATTTTTTTCAAATTCATTCAAAGCTATAAAACAGTTTTTAATCTAAATTATATCAATACACAATCAATTTCTCTCTCATAAAATTTAAAAATATTCAAAAATAAACTATTTGAACGAATTTTTAGTTTATTAAATTTTCTAAAGCTCATAAAACTAAAATAAATGCAACTAGTCTTGGATATCGAATATTGATCATTTGGCATTAATACATAAAACATATTCCAATAATTCGAGTTAAGTGTTAACTGTAACTATATCCTGTTGCTCAATTGACATTTATTTCTTATCACACCTCTTACTTATATTTTACACTCATTTTCTTGGTTGTAAAAATTATCTCGTTACTTTTATGAATCGAAAGTAATAGCATGACACTTTTCCGCACGCGGATATATATAAATTAATTGAACGTTAGTAAATATTTAAAATACTAAATTTAAATAAAGAATTTTATGTTTACTTTCTTAATATTTGTACTTGGCATTTTTTGTATTTTTTAATGGAACAAATATAAATTTTTTCCAATTAATATATCAGATTAATGAACTAAATCAAATAAAGACATTCTCGTCTGGACGATATTATAGTTGACAGGAATATTATATTATTAGTTGACTAGATAGCAATGTCAGTTCTTAGATATTGACATTTTTAAAGATATCAGCTCATCCCGATGTTACATTCATCAAGAGCTTTCATTTGAGTACCCACATGTATTGTGATATATTTTTCATATATTCATATATATATATATATATATATAAAATATATGAAAAATTGATATGGGTACTCAAATGAAAGGTCTCGATGAGTGTAATGTCAGGGTGAGCTTATATCATTAAAAATGTCAATATTTCACAAGATAAAAGGTAATTTTCTAATTATGTATCTAGAGATAGAGCATTTTCGAATGCATCCTAAATACTTATCATAATAAATTGACTATTGGTGAGAATGAAATGAAACCTTGAAAAGGCAGAAATTCAAGCCAAGACCTTTGCAATGACACTAAATTTTATTTAAAAAAAACCGATTTTATCATATGACTATCCTGGAAAAAAAATTTTCTTATTCTTTTAATAATATAGATTATTTTATTATTTATTTATTCTTTTGCAGAACAAGTCTTCAGTATGGAATTTCATGTTTAAAGCGATTAAACTTTGATAGACATCAACTTGAAGAAAGAAGGCGAATGGCTGAAAGTGCGAATGCTGATGTCATAGTATGGAGTAATGATCGTGTTATTAGATGGGTTCAATCAATTGGTCTTAAGGTATTTTTATTATTATTTTTATTTAAAAAATATTTAAGGGTTTTAAAACAAAAAAAAATTGTGAATTGATTCAAGCTCCAAAATGTATCTTTCTGAGCAGAAGGTAGTTTCTTATAGAAAATAATATAAAGTTTTGGAAATTGCTAGTTCTGGTAGTATTTTTCAGGGTTAAATGCAACCATAAGAAAAAATAATTTTTAATAGTTTTTTGACACTAATTAAATTTTGAAAAATTAATTATGGTGATTATGTGTTTAATTTGACGAACAAAATTTCGAAGTAGTGCTTTAAGGTGACTGTCATAACGCTTTATTAGTTCATTAAAAATCAATTAAACAAAAAATAATCATTAGTTTAATAGTAAATCAACTACCAAGATAAAATAAATCTTTAGATCAAGGACTTGCTTTTTGTACTTTAAATAAGCTGTAAAAATTAAATTAAAATTCTAGGAGTTGTTTTTTGATGACAGTGGTCACCGAGTTTGAAAATATAGTTTTGAGAGTACAAATTTTGAGTTTTACTCTGGGCAAAGGTTACTTTTTTTTGATAATTTTTACAATTTATAATTCATAAATTATGAATTTCAGTTAAACTTTATAAGAATAACTTTTGGTTCAAAATTACTCAAATTGATGATAAAAAAATTAATTCGACCGAAAAAAAAGTATCTGTAATAATTTTCAAGATTTCCAAAAAAAAATCAATTTTTTTTTTTTTTAAATATTGACCACCGAATAAAATTAATAAACTGCAATTTAAGATGAAATCTTTTTAATTAATATTAATAAATCATAATATTTTCAAGGAGTATGGGAACAATTTATTAGAATCTGGAGTTCACGGTGCACTTATTGCGCTTGACGACAGTTTTGACGCCACATCATTTGCTCTTGCTTTACAAATACCAACCCAAAATACCCAGGTATGATTTTTTATTCCCAAAAAAATTTTAATCAAAAAAAAAAAAAAAAAAATTACCAATAATTAATAAAATTAAAAACAGGTAAGACAAATGTTGGAAGTGGAATTTTCAAACCTTTTAACGACCGCCACAGAAAGGCATCTAGAGGAACCAATGAGCCTAAAGTCCTGATCAAATTTAGCAGCTAGGCCATCATTACCACGCCATCAACCCCATCACGTCTAGTCTACCGCAGCTGTCCTCGCTGTAAAGTTCCAACGGAGTAATAAATAAACTATTTAAAAAAAAAAAAATAAAAAATTAATAAGCGTAAGCTTTAAAAATATCCGCAGAGTATTTTTGACTCTTAAAGTTTCATATCAATTTCCAGTCTTAAAGACTTGGGAGGATAAATTAATATATATTTAAATATATAAATATATATAAATGAATATTGATATTTAATAAAGCGGAAAGCACTCGTGCTTTATTTAATTTAATTCTATAAATATTATTTAGTTATTATTATTTTTAACAAAATACGAACCGCTGATATCAAGTCGCATTCCTAGTGTTGTAAATGATTAAATTTATGTGGAAATTGTGAGGAGAGAGAAAAGATAAAAATAATAATAATTAAATGTAATTTAATGGGTAAGAGTGCGTGTAACAAATATTAATTTATATTTAATCAATATACAGCAAACTCCAAGTGACAATAATTCCATCGGGCTGAATTATTTTGTTGCTTTTTTTTAGATTCATTAAATCATTATCAATCATTAAATCATTTTTTTGTAACATTTCCCGTTGTATTATAACCGTGTACTCGATAAATGATAATCACGCATCATATGTCGCACAAAATCCCAATTGAAAATAATTTTTTAAAGTGACGACTTTCCTGTCATTTAAATTTTAAATTAAAAGAAAATAAAATTTTTTTAACGCGAGTTTATAAATTAATCTTGACTTTACACAATCTCTATACTAATATTGTATCGATAATAAGAATAATAATAATACTAATAATAATAATAATAATAATAATTAATAATTTATTAAATGTATATGAAAAATTTAAGAAAACCATCGAGTATTCGTAAAAAAAAAATGTTAACAGGACACCTGTACTTTATATTATTATTATTAATGAATTAATGAATTGAGGTGAAATTGAGAGATATATTTAACGAGAGTGTATGCACAAGCACAACAAATCTCTCGTTATTAGTTACCGATAAAATAAAAAAAAAAGAATTGTGTGTTAATAATTGCGCGATTGAAATTCATAATCATCATCATTAAAACTAACTTTTTGCATGACGTAGGATCCGAATAGTTTATCAAATATTACCATTTATCATTAACAACAAACTGTCGATGATTGACTTAAATTAATAAATTATCTAACTTATTAAAATATTTATAAATCATCGACTGGTTGTCATTAATTATTTTATGCCTGCCTCTATTCAAGTTTATGGTGATTTCACTGTATTTTGGTAGTTATGGTATTTTATGGTAGCTCTGGTTTACGGAAATAATTTTACCTGTTGTTATGTAAAAATTGCAACTAAAAATTATTTGTTAAACTTTTAAATCCATATTCTGAGTGAATATTGAAGATACAAAAAAATCATAAGAGACTTTTTTTTGTAGAGAATAAAAAAAAATTTCACTCATTTTATAATGTGAAAATAAGATTGATATTTATCACTAGTATTGAAAAGAAAAAAATATCTTTCATTAATAAATATTTGCATTCGTTAATTTCCACATTATAATACGACCGTTTGTTTCTTTATCACGATATTGTGCGAAATATTATGTTGGTTGTGTTAATTAATTCCATTTATTTATGTATCAACTGATTGGAAGCGGCTTTTCGGCACTCGTGTGTCAGCGCACACTCTCTGCTCGTTGCGCCAACACACCAGTAGCCGAAAGCCCCCCTCCACTCAGTTACATAGCTAAATTTTTTTATTGTCAATTTTTTCACCAAAAACATTTCTTCAAATTTCTTGGATATTTTTCGTCAATATCGGGAAACATGATTTTTAACATGGTATTTTAATTTTTAAGTTTGGTAAATAATTAAAAGAGATCTAACCGTACCGAAAAATACCTATGAGAAGATACATAATTTTCTGTAAATCACTTGCTACCATTTTTTACCCGAACAAAGATAAACCATAAACAAAAGATAAAATCGTATATTTAAAAAAAATGCGAATAAATGTGCGCGCATATAAAAAATTCGTAGATTCAAAATTACGATATAATCGCGGGCATTTTATACCGAAATAATAATTATTAAAAGTTGCGTAATTTTGACTTTACATTTAAAAATTATATAAATATATATAAATAAATATAAATATATAAATAAATAACTATTAAAAAATAGACGTGATTTATGTTAATAAATTGTCAGCCGATCGATCGTAACTTATTTTATTTAGATTAATGCAGTATTAATTTAAAGTTTAAAGTTTGTTATTGAAATGCTTTAGTAGTGCCATTTATTTGAAATTGAAATCAAAACTATTTATTTAAAGTTATTGTTATTATTTTATAAATAAACGCACAATTGTCCTTTGATCGATCGGCGGTAATTTATAAAGTATGTATGGTTAAGTACTAGGAAAATACAGAGAGTGGCACGTTAATAGCGACAACGATAAGAATTAGTCGATTGATTAAGAAAAAAAGAAAAAGAGTAGGGATAAAATAATTGTAAATGTGCCCCAATTGCAATGTTGTTATAATGTTGTTGTGTGATACTTGAACGAGTGTCATTGTTGTTGATTGTTCATTTCTTTTTCATCCGCAAAATATTAACCTAAAAAACGTATCACGTCATTATCACTTATATTATTTTTTATCTAATATATAAAAATAAAAAAACTAAATAATTAACAATTGCGAGTGCAACTTACCGATTTGTATGTAATAATTGTACGTATTTACCAAATAATTTTTATACCAAAGACTTTTTAAAATCGTGCATTGTCATGAGATTTTTTTTTTACAAAAAAAAAAAAAAATTTTCTTCTTTTTTAGAAAGTAATAAGACATATCGTAATTTTTTATTTATTGTTAATTATTATTTTCATGACTTTGTTTAAGAAGAAATTGGCGTAAATAATTATTACGAGTTTGGTCGACCTTTTCTCGGCGAAGGAACTAACTGAAGTGACGTCATAGCTTCCCCCACTCTTTAGGAAAAATAAACTGCGCATGTGCGGCGACACTCAGGCGCATGCGTAAGGGAGTGGTGGGGAGAGACGGATAATTTTTTTTCCCGGGAAACAGAAAATACGATTTTGAAGTTAGGATAAATTATATTCGGAAGTTGCACGGTGAATGTAATATAAATGAATCAGTTATTTTAATCATCATAATTGTTAGTTTATATATATATATAGTGTGCTCTAGCGCAAAAAACACATTCCATATTACACATGAAAGATAGAATGGCAACGAGTTGCAAAATAAATAATAGAAAATTAATAATTATTAATTAAAAATTATCGAAGAATATAAAAGAAGAAATAATAAATAAATAAATTTATTCTGCAACTGTAAGAAGATATTTATGAATGATATGCATTTGTAATGGCGCGAGTGCGTCTACACGAACAAATTAACAAACAAAAACATTGTAGCAAGCTTAAAATGCCTTCAATGTATTCAATTGTAAATATATACCATTGAACGCGACTTGTCAAGTATTTTTTTATTTATTATTATGATTTATAATAAATATTTGATAATTTATAGTCTTCTTAAGGTAAGTCCGCCGTCAGATCGTCTGTTCTCATCAATAATTTCCGAAGTTCCGAACTTCGTCTCTTTTTTAATGTCATTTCTTCTTTAGACAATTTGTTCAAGTACTCTATTTCCCTCCCCCTATCGTCAGAAATTTTGGATAACCTATCGTGCAACTCTGAGTGCGGCAAAATTAGCCGGTTGAAGTTCCGACGGTGAAGACGAAGAAGTTCACAAGTTTCTACGGCAATGGCCGAAACTTCCCGAAGTTTTGCTGAAGATACTAGACACCTTTCGCCAAAATGGTCGCCATCTTCCAAATGGTAATGTAACTGCAATTTATTTTTATTGATTAATAATTTAATTATAATTATTGTTATCATTTTGAAGGTTATTATTATTAATTTATTACTTCTTTGCCATTGTAGTTGATGATTGCAACGGTTCCACTGGTTATGAAATACATGCAGTCGCCCTCTGTGTTGTAATTATAAATTACATCATCCTTCAGATAAATTACCGGTTTGAGTGCAGCTGAAATATTTTTATACTCCGGAAAAAAAATAGGAAAATTAATTTAGTTAAACTTAGGTTAGATACATACTCATGAGATTTGATATAAAACTCTTCGACAAGTTGTGGAATATTTTAGCTTTTTCTAACAATCCGTTATTGGATCTTATGTAAATTTCTTGCTTCAAGTGATCTGAAAATACAAATTTTTTATTATTTAAGGTTAGGTGCAGTCATTAGATGAAGAAATAAATTTTTAATCATTGGAATTAAATTTTATAATGATTTTTTGATTAAAAATTATGACACTGAAGTTGATATACATTAGAAATTTTTTTTTCTACTTTTATATCAATGAAATTATTAATAAAAAAATTCAACGTGTGAAAATTAAAAAAAAATTATTAGAGGAAATTTTTCAAAAGAATTTTTTTTATTGTAATTGATTTGTTATAAAAATTAAAAAAATTAACAGTTGTCAGCTAACTTTTGAATAATTTTTTAATACAACAAATTAATTATTATAAAGAATTCACATTTGTAAATTTTAGAAATTTTTTTGCAAAATTTTTTTATCTTAATTTAATTGTTATAAAAATCTAAAAAATTTTTAAATATCTATTAAATTCAGAATTATTCTAGGTATCATATTTTAAATATAAAAAAAAATTTTTTCAATTCTGTCTGCACCTAACCTCAAAAAAACATTTCTTCATTCTCATAAATTAACTAGTATACGTTCCGCGCGCAAGCGCGCATGTAAATTTGCTTATGATATATTTTCGTGTCGTTTGCATATATTTTATATAACTTTATCAACCAATCACTATATATATTTTCATATTCTTCATCTAAATTATAAGAGTGGATAAAAAATAAATGACATACTCGGTAGTGAATTAATAATGGTACTCTCCTTGAAATAATTTCCTTGAAACCGATATCGATTGTACAAAAAAAACTTGTCCCCTAGTTCTTGCGGTATATCGTTTTTGTGAATATATTCTCGGATTTGACGTTTCATGTCTTGATACTTCAGCTCCGGCTCTGCTGAAGATTCTATTAACTGCAGGATGACCACTGCAATGAATAATTATCTTAAGATAATTAATCATTAGTAATTAGCATAAATTATAAACTATTTATTTATTTATAGATACCAATCAAGTAAACAGTATAACTGGATCCGAAGAGAAGAAGAATACACCGTATAAGCTTGTCAGAAGGTGAAATTTTTTGCAACTCGATGAAACTCGAGCCTATTAGGTTACTTGCGCCCATGTGCAAGCTATTGATGTATATAAGTAGTGTGTCCTCCATTTTGTACAACCCGCTCTGGATTGCGTAGACATTTGAGTTTGATATTGTCTGCAAAGGTGTTGCGTGGATCACGATGAACGGGAATGCCCAGGTTAGGCACGCGCTCCAGTGGAAGATTAAGGTTGTTAGGATTGAGATCCAGATGGCGGTGTCTGTTGAGCTGGTAAATCCCCAATCCTGTAATTTTTTTCTAACTTAGTCACTTTTAACAATAAATTTAAAATAATGTAAGTTACAAAACCTTGACGAGTTGGGTATAAAGCACAACCTGACGCGCTTCGCGTTATGAGGCGTGCAATTAAATTTAAAATTAAAAATTATTAATAATTTTAATTACTAAAGTTTGTCGACTCTTTTGACTTTCTGATTTCTTTTAATTTATTAAATTAGAACTAAAAAATCTTTTTAAAAAAACACACTTATAGTTTTTTACCAATGAAATTTTTTTTTTAATTCTAAAAATTTTTATGAAAATTAAGTTAGCCGATATTTAAAAATTTTTAAGATTTTTTTTTTATTAAAAAAAATGATTACAAAAAAATAAAAAAAATTTTTGTTTGTAAAAAACTTCAAAAACTACAAGTCCAATTTTTATAAAATATTTTTTAGTTCTAATTTAATTATTAAAAAACAATTAAAAAATTAAATATGTCGGCTAACTTCAGTATCATAAATTTTGAGATGTTGGCTAACTTAATTTTCATAAATTATTAAATTTTGAATAATAATTATTATTTTGTAAAAGTTTCAGGTGCTATATTCACAGTTATTTTGAAGAAACTAAGCCTTGTATTGGCTAATTAGTCCTATATATACATATATATAAGCTAAATTTTTGTCATTGCTCAAAATTAAAATTTAACAAAGTAGCTGAAAAAAAAAAATTTTTTTTGGTAAAATTATTTAAAGATATGGTTAAACTTTTATATTTTTCTAAATTTAGTTAAATTAATAACAAATTTACTAGAATCTACTTAATTATATGAAAAAAGAAGATAACTCTTAAACTAGCATTTTTAATAATTTTTTTTTCTTTAATTTTTCTTGAAAAAAAAAAAAACTAGGTCCAAAAAATTGCATTTATAATTTTTTAGAGCTTCTAAAAATTGGAGTTTTCTTTTTTATAAATTCTTCTTGTTGTAATTTACTTGGTAAAAAAATTTTAAAAAACTTCAGATGTCTGTCGATTTTAGTATCATATAAAAAAAAACAACTTACAGAATTGATCTGCTTGACGTAGTATCGCAAAGTGGTCAGTCGGAAAATTTTCAACAAAGGAAGAAGTTCTCCAATAAAGGCGATGAAATTCCTTTGGTTGTTTCCTTTTAATGAAATTAAGTCATCGTTGAAGAACCAGGTGTAAGGTATTGAAGAAATCAAGTCAATTAGAAAAAACTTCTGAGAATAATGTCTGAAATTTTGTAGGTTAGGAAGAAATACATCAAAATCCCGGTGGCCATTTTGGAAATTTAACCTTCCGTTACTCTTGCTATTGAGGGAATCCCTGAAATGTTGACTTTAATTTTAAATATTAAAAAAACTATCAGAATTATTGTTGCTAATTATTTTCCAGTTAATTTTTATTAACCTTTTATAGTTAATTTTATACAATAAAATATTTAATAAAACTTAAAATGGATTTGGCAACATTGTTGAGTTAAAAAATATTTCGGGGATTCCCCTTGACGCTTCTAACGCCCTCTGGATTTTTAACGTAAGTAACGAAAGTTTAATACTTAACCTTCAATTCTTACCTAGCTATCATGGTAGGATCAATAATAATTCCATTATCGTGAGAAACATAACCTGTAAAGAATCTAACGATGACATCAAAAGTGCAAACAGTGAACACCGGGTAAACGTAGTACACTTGATTATTCAGAGGTCTGTCGCAAATACGAAAGAACGCTTTTATATATGGGACTGTTAAGAAGAAATATAGCAGCACTACAGTCATTACTTTGTCCCAAAAAAATCTGTCTATTGAATTAATTGTTTTCAAGTTTAAGAAGAAATTTAACAATGATTATAATTAATAATAATGAAGAGTATTGAAGTACCCAAGTTTACTATAAGGATGCAAAATCCACCAATGCTGAGAATTATTGTGTCTTTTCTTCTCAAACGCAATGGCAGCTCGACTCCTCAAGTGGTATTTTGCAAAAGGATGTTCTTCGTACACGATTATCAGTTTTTGAAACTTGCGCTTTAATCGGGCAATTAATTTTGCGTTGGGGGGCAAGCGTTTTAATTGGCTGGAAGATGTTTGTCGTTTTAGTTCGCAAGCATGCCGCTCGATGTTCTTCTTCCGCCATCTTTCGTGAATCTCCATCTTGGTGACAAAGTGGCATGTTAATATGGTTTTAGTGTTGATTGAAGATTTTTATTAATTTAACTATTTTTTATTAATAATTCACAAATTTTGATGAAATCTTAGTTATAAATTAGTTAAATTTATTTTTATTAATATAAATAAAAAAAAACAAGAAGAAATGATGAATATTTTTAATTGAAGAAAAAACAAAATTTTTGTTAATTTGTTGGTTAGAATTTTTTTTTGAAGAAATTTTAAGGAGTTGAAGTGTGGAGAAATTTAATTATCAATATGAGGTTAGTAATTTTTTGTTTAATTTTTTATTGATTGCTTCGTTTTTATTTTTTTTTTTAAAGAAGCTGATTAATTAAAGAAGAAATAATTTTTTAATGAATCAATAAATATAGTTAATATTAAATTATAATAGAAGAAATCATTAATGTCTTTGATTAAGGAAGAAATGTAATTTCTTCTAAAATTATTAATATAAAATGAATTATAGAAAGAAGAAATTATAAAATTTAAATAATTTATAAAAAGAAGAAATTCATTTGGTGAAGAAATAATACTTTAAGGTAGTTCTACCGGTTTTAGAATTGACGTTCAGAATTTGATGAAGCTTGCCATATAGGTACATAATAATATCTTAACCCTTCAGGACATGGGTGTTTTGTCTCACCTTATTTACTCTGGCCATGAGAAAAAATCTCATGGCTTCTGCGCATGCGCATAGAATAATTTAAATTCAGTTTTCTTACGAAAACGTCATTTATTTTTTATTTTTAATGTTTTTAGAATATAAAATAATAAATGAGTAATTAATTAAGTTTAAATTTATTATTAGAGTATTATTAATTAAGAAAAATAATAGAGCTATCATTTTGGCGGTTATGTATCACGTAAATAAATATGGCGGACGCGGACTGCGAAATGAGCCGAACTCGGCCGAATAAGAAACGAAAGCTAAAATCTCCCACCTTTTAATACTCTGGCCATGAGAAAAAATCTCATGTCCTCCAAAAAAAATTTTTTTTTTTATTATTTTCAATTAAAAAAAAAAAAGTTTTTATTGTATGTGCGTCTAGAAAACTAAATTAAAGGAAGATACAAAAATTTTCAAGTAGCTTTTCCATTTGAAATTTAAAAAATATTTGAGATTGAAGTTAAGCATGAGAAAAAATCTCATAGCCCATGTCCTGAAAGGTTAATTAATCACTTAAATTTTTGGAGACCTACAAAGAACTAAAAAATATTTATTAATAAAAAACAAAATTTATCTCTGTCTCTCTTTCTTCAACGCGATTTAGTACAGGGAAATTTACTACGTTAGTCAAATAAGGTTAGGTTTTGGAATTTGACTCTTGTGGTAACTGTAGTACTACCTTAATAGAAATAATTAGATTTTAAGATTTATTTAGAAATAACCTATAAATTTTTGTTATTAATACCATTGATAATATTTATCAAAAATTTCCATCAATAAAATCTTAACCTAAAAAAATGAATACAAATAAATAGAAATAAGTCTCACCTTAAATAAACATCAAAATTATTTAAATAAAACTTTATTTGTAATATAATAAATAAACAATTTGTAAATACTAATAAGCTTGTGCTTATCAATAATAATTTAAAAGGCACATTCACTTGTTTAAAAAATTAAAGGCCATCGCGTGATAGTCTTCTCTTCTCATAAAAAATTTCTTCAAATGCATAAAAATTTCGGTGGCAAACATGTGCGTTTTCATATCAATTTACAAAGATTGTTCTTCGTTGTTGTCTCTGTTATTATCATTAACATCAACAGTACTAATATTTTTATTATTATTATCAACATTATTATTATTAATATTAACCGTCGACATTTTATCCAAACTGCAATTACTATTATGCCTGACGGGTTTCGGAATAGGGTTAACCTCAAAATTAAAGTCAGATTTAACTTTTAAAGGTTCGGAAATTCTAAGCTCGATAACTTTGACCGCTGAATTATCGGCAGTTTCTTCTCCATTATCATGATGCTCTACTTCGTCCGTAAGATGGACGATCTTAATGTCATTCTGCTGACGCGGTAGCTCTTTAATCTCAACTTTGACCCTATCATTATTATGATTAATATTATTATTAATATTGACATTATTACTTGAGCGTGAAGTCAACTCTTTGAAGAAATTTCTGCGATTTTCTTGCAAACTTCTTCGAGAACTGCTGCCGCGTATCAGCCGCCTGCCTGGTGTATCATAATTGTCTTCGTCGGTCAGCGAGTACGTCCGAGTCCTCAAGGCCGCTTTCTCATCGTTATTAATAGCTTTGGTAGCCTCCAATAATTTAATCTGACGTTCTATTTTTTCGATTTCGTCTTTCACTGAAAAACTGCTGTCGCTTCCAATACTTTCCTTTGATTTCTTCCTAAGCAGCGTTTTGTCTTCCACGATTTCAACATCTTTTATTATTTCACAGCGAGTTTCTTCTTGTTTTTTTATTTCGACTTTGACCTCTTGACCCTCTGAATAATTACCATCAGAATCATTAGTATTCGACTCGGTTAATTTTTCCGTCGACTTGACCTTTAGATTTTCTATATTCTTCGCTATTTTACTTATTTCTTCACTTATTTCATCGGAATCCTGAAAATTTAAATAAATAATTAATACTAGCAACCTTGCAGTCACTATGTGACTGCCGTGACTCGTGAGCTATAAATAAATAAAATTTTGCTTTATACAATAATGACTTTTGTTAAATTCGACTGTATTTTCTTAACTATTGACGTTTTTAAAGATATAAGCTCATCCCGATGTTGCACTCATCAAGAGCTTTCATTTGAGTACCCACATGCATTTTTGATATATTTTTCATATATTCATATATATAATATATATAAATATATGAAAAATCGATGTGGGTACTCAAATGAAAGGTCTCGATGAGTGTAATGTCGGGGTGAGCTTATATCTTTAAAAATGTCATCAGTAGACAAGGTAACATGTCATTTCTTAATTAATGACATTTTTTAAGATATTAACTTATTTTGATGTTACATTCATCGAGACCTTTCATATAAGTACCCACATGGCATTTTTCATATATTTTATATATATGGTATTTATGAAATATATAAAAAATATGAAAAATTGATGTGGGTACTCAAATGAAAGGTCTCAATGAGTGTAATGTCGGGATGAGCTTATATCTTTGAAAATGTTATTAGTTGACAAGATAGCAATGTCAGTTCTTAATTATTGACATTTTTAAAGATATAAGCTCATCCCGACATTACACTCATTGAGACCTTTCATTTGAGTACCCACATCAATTTTATATATATTATATATATTGATATATTTCACAAATATCATATATATAAAATATATAAAAAATGCCATGTGGGTACTTAAATGAAAGGTCTCGATAAGTGTAACATCG